ATACTGTGCCAAGAGGCAGGGACACAGTGGCAGCCTTGGCCACTAGAGAGTTTCCCTAGGGCAGCAGTCCCAGAGCTTCTGCTTCTGTGAGGGAATCTGGCACCACTAGTTCTGAGGCCTCAGTTTTATATTCTTTGGTCTGACGTTCAGCCCATCCCCCCAGGAAAGAATTCCAGCCCAGTGGGTAGAGCTACAGTTCAGAACCAGTACCCCTCTTAGGCTGTTGGAGATGACTGCCAGTTCAAGATGTGGCTCCTGGAAATTGATTTTGTCACTCTTGTCACACATATGTGAGCAGAATCGCTTTTTACCTCTAAGCTAGGAATCAGTAAACAGCATCCCATAGGCCGGATCTGGCCTTCTGCCTATTCTTACACCATTGTGAACTAAGAATGGCTTTTACATTTCCTAGGGTTGGGGAAGAAAACAATGACAAAGACAGCACACGGCCCACAGTGCCTAAAATATTCACTATGTGACCTTTACAGTAAAGGAAAAGTCTGCTTTGCTCTTATAAGCCATAAGCCTCGTAAGCCTTGGAGTTGTTCCAGGGGAACCAAGGCCGCTCTGGGGTTGGCCCAAGGGAGCATTGTGCCGAGTGAGCCCTCCCTCCTTGCTAATGGCAGGTCTTTGATCTTACAGGACAAATCCTTCAGAAAGACCAGGAAATCAAGGACCTAAAACAGAAGATAGCCGAAGTCATGGCCGTCATGCCCAGCATAACGTACAGTGCCGCCACCAGCCCCCTGAGCCCCGTTTCCCCCCACTATTCTTCCAAATTTGTGGAGACCAGCCCATCTGGACTTGATCCCAATGCCTCTGTCTACCAGCCCCTGAAGAAATGAAGGCCAGCTGTGGGTTTGCCCAACCATTTGGTTACCAGAAGGCCTCACAAAGCAGCATCTCTGGCAGTCAAGACAAAAAAAGTTTATATTGTATTTTGTGGGACTGTATATGTTGTCATTTTTAAAAGGGGGGAAGATGACATCTAAGTCTGATTAGAACTGCCCATCAGTTGTAAATTTTTAGAAGACCTCACAGAACTTTGCAGTTTATTTTTCTTGGCCAACACATTAAAACTATTCTTGGATTTCAAGTAGCCAATTTTGCCTTTTCTGTATTCTTAAATAGTTTCCTCTTGAAGAAAAAAAAAGCAGAGTTTTTGCTTTTCAACGCTTTGTTTTGCTTTATTCTTAAATAAATAAGCAAAAACTGCACATTGGATTTACGTGTGATGAGGACAGAAGCTTAGTTTTTAGAGTGAATGGTTAAGTTACCTAACAGCTTTGATTTTTAGCTGCATTAAAGAAGATGATTATCGATATTATAGAAAGTGAAAATTGATAGCCCCTCCAAGGACCAAACCAATTCAAGGAGCATCATTTAGGCAGAGAGACTTGAGCGAGGTGACTAGCGTAGGGACGAACAGGGTTACGTTCCAAAAATTCACCTCCCAACGCTATTTAGTCCTAGGAAATGGCGGGCAGCAGTCTTCTCACAGTGCCTGGGCAAAGACTTCAAGAGGAAACTTGACCACTCTAAACTGTTTCCCCCTTCAGTCATCTCTTTCCTGTCTGTATCAAGCTCACTGCAGATCCTGCTGTGAAACTGGCAGGTAGCGGCTGTCCCTTGCCACCTGGCCACCTCTTCCATTCCCTTTGATGGAAAGCACCTGGTGTCCTGTGCTGTGTCGAGCGCCTGGGGAGGAAGCTGGTGGCGACTGTGTATGAGACTGTAACGTGGCTAATAAAAGCTGTGGTCTAGGTTGTTTTTTTCCCCCTCATTTCACGTAACTGTGCTTTATCGACTTTTCATCATCTTGTGTTTGAAACTTTAAAAGAGGCGTGACTATTCCTCAGCTCTTGTGCCAAGGAGGGTTGGTTTTTTGTTTTGTTTTTTTAAGAATTTTAAAATCAAAACTGCACAAAGATACTGGTTTCAACTCTGTATTATACATTGGTAGAAAAAGGTGTTTGCACAGGCAACTTTTGGAAGTGTTTTAAAATCTGGGTGGGGTGGGGGGAGGGACTGGGAGAGAGGGACAAAGCAAAATTGTATTGGAAACTAGGAAAAATTAAGAAACCAAATAGATTGGTTTTGCTTCCTTGCCATGGGTCCTGGAAGGACATAGTTCTAAAATTTCCTGTTAATTGGCATGTATGTCTCATTTAAAGCAAATTAAGTAGGACAAGTCAGTGAACTAGAAGTATTAAAAAGAATCATCCTTTTAATCACAGGTCTTATTTTGGGATTAAAATAAAAACTCCTAGCTTTAGCCAGGTGTGCATGTTGCTGCCATTTGCATTTTTGAATCATCTTGTGTAATCGTCACCATGAAAGTGTTATCAAAATTGTCATAGATTTTTTCATCTTTGTGCAAAAACATGGAAAATTGTCACTGACTTTGTGTTGAGGTTACCCCCATTTTGCTGCCCTTCAGACACTATTTTCGTTAAATACTTGGTCTTGGCTGCATTCTTTTATTTTTTCCCCCTGTGGGGTTCAAAAGAATAAACATTTTCTTACTGATAAAACTAGTTTTCTGCCTTTTTAACTTTTCAGGAGGACACAGCAAGGTAGACAGTCCGAGTGGGGCTGTCCTTTTGTTCTCTCTTGTCCTGCCCACGTCAGGTGTGGCAAGGCAGGGCCGCTGCCCAGGGACAGAGGGTCTTCGTTTGCCGTAGTTTCTGACGGGTGCTCTCCCAGCTCTCCTGCCCCGGCATCTGATGAGAGCCAGCACTGCCTTGTTTTCTGGTGTGACCCTCCTTTCCTCAGAAAGCAAGTAAGAGCACGGTTGGGGGATATAGTTGGTGAGAAAATCTCGAGGGCAAATTTCCTTCACCATGCCTTGCCCTCTCCCGTTTTCCAGAATCTTGTTGGCTACCTAGTGACCAGTGTCCTGCTGGGTGCCCTGTCTGCTGCAGTCCCGAGTGCCTCCATCGTCCTCACTTGTTTTTAAAGGCTTTGTCTGTTTTCATCTTCTGAGAAGCCAGCTGCCTCTCTTGGCCCGTGTTTTCCTCTCTTGGCCATTGTTACAATTGATCTTGGCTTGAGTTTTGGAAAATTCTGCTCTTGGCACCTCACCCTCTGTCCTTGCTGCTGGATAGCCTGAGTCTTGGCCAGTAAGTCTCTTGCAGACACCACACTTAATACCATGAACAGAGTTCCCCAGGGAAACGCTGGGGCTGGGCTGGGCTTTTGCCTTTGCCTTTCCTGAAGGAATGTGCCCGGTACTGAGTTCTCATTGGCACGTTCTTTTCCACCAAGGAAATCTTGAGTTGTTGTCTTTGTTATTTTAGGCCCACAATAAAGTGCCTCCACATCTTAGTACGTTGTGTTTATTACATGCCGCCAAGCACTGTTTGCCACTCTAGATGGTCAAACATTTACAGGAAGAATGGGCTGCGTGTGTTTTGACTCGCTGAAGAACCTCTTTTTAGCCATATCTCCCCACTTTATATATATATTCATCCTCCCTGTGAAGATCTTTCCAAGGCATCCTATAAAAATCCTTGCCTCCTGGTCTGGGGGAAGGGAATGGCCCTTTCTCCCATCATCCTCTTCCCTCATGCTCACTGGGCACCTGAACCTGGCTCTCAAGGCCTCCCAGGCGGACCGAACGTTTCCAGCAGCTGCCATCAGATCGCTGCTGGTGCCGTTCACACCACAGCAGAGGGAGCTGGAGAAATAGAAGAAAACCTACCCCGGAGCCCATTCTGTGAAGTCGAACTAGTAAACTGTTTTTGGGGAGCGAGGGGTCTGGGGAGGGATTGGTAGCCAGGCCCATGTGGGTTAAAGAGCCACTGAGATAAAGGCTGGCTGGTGTGACAGTGACGTGTACAGCCGAGCTGGCTTCTTCACAGGCCTGGCAACACTTGCCAAAGGCTCCTGCCACCTTGAGGGCCACTCTGCTGGAGTTGCTGCAGAGCCCTGGGGCATGCATGGCCAAGCCCCTGGACAGGGATGGGGATCTGCTCCTGGCCCCGCCCCTGCTGACCTCCACTGCCTTCGGCCTCTCTGGGTGCTCCTCCCTCACCTTTAAGGAGTCTTGTTCCCTGCCACCCCTCCTGCTTGGAGGGAGTGCTGTGGGGACTAGGGGATCAAAGAACACTGAATCTAACAGCTCAAACTGGCAGCAAGGAGTCCTGACGAGGACAGGGGATCCCACAGAGAACTTCTGCTCTGGGGCCAGCTCTGTCCTTCATAGCTGGAACCCTAAACCGGTGCTACTCAAGCGTCCTCAGCTGCCGCAGACCAGCAGCACCAGCACCCGTGTCAGGACCAGGAACTCGGGCTCTCCCCCAGAACCATCAACCTCATCTGAATCGGCATTCTGAACACATCTCCCAAGATTCCACTGCATTTTTTTTAAGTTGTAGATGAACACAGAAAACCTTTTTTTATTTTTATGTAGTGCTGAGAATCAAACCCAGTGCCTTGCACATGCTAGACAAGTGCTCTGCCACTGAGCCCCAGCCGCAGTCCCAACTGCATGGTGTTCTAGAAGCCCTGCCCTATGCTGACTTTCCTTACCTGAATCAGCAATGTCGCCCTCTCTCTTCTAGTTCAGAATAAGCCCAGATTTGGGCTTTGAAAAATCTAGAATTGAAGAGTTAATTGAGGCCAGGTTCAGTAGCACATGCCTGTGATCCCAGTGACTTGGGAGGCTGAGGCAGGAAGATCTCAAGTTCAAAGCCAGCCTCAGCAATTTAGTGAGGCTCTAAGCAACTCAGCAAGACCCTGTCTGTAAATAAAATTAAAAAAGAAAATGAGAATGTGGTTTAGTGGTTGAGCACCCCTGGTTTAATCCCTAGTACCAAAAAAAAAAAAAAAAAAGTACATTGATGAGGAGACATGCAGGAGATGAAGCTCTCCAAGACATGCCTCTTTTACAAAATTTGTTTCCCCACTATTAGAACAAAAGATCCATGAGGATCAAGATTTTTGTCTGTTTACTGCTGTAAACCCAGAATCTAGAATAATGACATCTACACAGTAGGTGCCGAGTAAATATTTATTGAAAGAGTAAGGGTCAATTAATAGATGGAGCATGTAAAATATGGTGTTGTCAGAGCACCTCTGCAGCAGTACCAGGAGAATGACAAGTCTACACAGAATTGCTTCTGGAAAGAAAAGAAGAAATTTGAAATAGCGTATTTGCTATGACATCTCCCATCTGCCTGTCTCTGGCTTCTGCTGAAACCTTGATTTTCTTGTCAGATTTTCTCTACAAACTCCTGCTTGACTCAGCCAGGTGCAAAGATTATCCTAAACAGCTGGATGCACTGAGAGCCGTCAGCTGTCTGGAAACCCTTGCTGCAGGGAATCTTCACGGGCACATCCATTCCTCACCCCATCGGAGCCTTAGACCTGACTTCCCCCAGAGCCAGCCCCCTGCATGGTGCGTTGGTGTGGGGATTTTTCATTTTGACAGTAATGGAATTCTCAAGCATTTCCTCCAGGAAGGGACCTGTTGAATCAGTATCTCAGAGGCTCTGGCAAAGGGAGCCATGCTTCCTTCCTTCTTGAGTGTCCTTTGAATGCCTGTGCATTATTCCCTTCTCAGCATTTGCTTTTAATTCCTCTGCCTTTGTCCCAACCTGGTTGGAGTCTTGCATCCCCCTGAGTTGTGATGCACCAGCTGGCAGGTGCTTAAAATTATTATTATTATTATTATTATTATTATTATTATTATTTATTTATTTTTTTTAGTGGTGTTATGCTAGGCAAGCACTCCACCACAGGGTCACATCCCCAGCCCCTTAAATCACAATTCTAATAAGTTCCCAAGCGAGGCTTAGTCCTGGGCCCCCACTTCCAGAACCACTGACTTGAGCATAAGATTGACCCATGACTGCCCAAAGTCATCCCCCCGGGCTGCCACCAGGGGGCACATGCAGCCTCAGCCAGAGGTCTTGGTTCATTTCCAGCCAGCAGCACACAACACCCCTGGACAGCAGAGGTGGTTCCCTAAAATATCTTTATAATTGTAAGATGAATTGTTGTTATTATTAGGAAGGAGAAACGTAGACCTCACAGTGAGGTGTTCTCTGTCTGACAAGTATCAAAGGTCAGAAGGGTCAGCCCCGTGGAGGTGATGAATGTCCTGGCTCTTGAAAATGGCAACCAGTAATCCCCACTGGAGAAGGTCCTGGGTTCTCATCTACACTGCAGCAGGGCCACTCTCAGAACACCCCAGAATCTTTCAAATTAAGATGGTACGTGATTTTCATTTTCTTCTTTATGCTTCACATCTCCAAATTTTCTACAATAAACTTAATAATATTTTTACAATAAAGGTGATTTTTAAAAATACATTTTAAGTGCTATTAAAAGCCAAAACAACTCAAAAGAAAGACCCAAGAGTGAACTTGGGGTGAGCAACTTTGGATAAGGAGAAAGCCCCCACTTGGACTTGCCTCCCCCATTCTTTGTTCTGCTGGAGCATCTGCCCGGGGCTGGGGTTCAAGTGGGATCACAATCAGCCAAGTGCTCAAGAAAGCAAGGCTGAGGTCAAGGGAGAGATGGTTGTGTGTGCGGGGTCAGCCCATCATCTCTGCAGTGCACCTGTCACTAGAACTTGTGGTTGGCTTCAGGCAGCTCCAGCCAAAGCATAGTGACTTCCAAAGACCACGTGGTTGGGAGCAGGATAAAAAATGTCGAAATTTCAAGACTTTATAGGTCAGGTGCTTCTTTAGTGGCTTGCAGATCTATTTTATTTCATCTACATAGAATTTAATACATTTTAACTAACATTATAAAATAAGGAGATGTCATGTTATCTAGATTTGGGGATTTCCTGTTGAAAACTGAAGATCTGGCATCTCAGGGATGGCATCTCCCTCTCCACCCTCTGCAGGGCTTGGGAGAAGCAGAACGGTGGGTCTTGGCTCTGGCTGCACCTCAGAATCCCCCTGGGGAGCTCTCAAGAATGCTGTGTCCAGGGCCCACCCGGGGAGCTGCTGGCCTGAGCTGGGAGGAACCTGGGCACGAGCTGCTTGCCTCATTCCCCTCGGGGCTTCCTAACGGGCAGCAGCATTGAGAAGCTGGGACTAGACGGGAAAGTGGAAGCCTCGGTCCTAGCTGGGGTCTGCACCTCAGAGGCTAGGTGGGTGTTTGTGGGGCTGGGTCAGGAGCTGGGCTGTCAGATCTGCCGTCTCTGCTTCCTGTGGAGACCCCTGTCAGCTCTCCTTCCTCTGGTCCTTGGGCTTCCCTCCAGGCCCTGGTACCGGTGTTTACCAATGTCAGTTGTTAGAGTTTCCATGACATCACCTTGATTTATGGTGGGTGTTCTCTTCTTATTTGAGGCTTTGTTTTGGTTTGTTCATTGGAGATGGGGTCTTGCTAAGTTGCCCATGCTGGCCTCAAACTCCTGGGCTCAAGCGATCCTCCTACCTCAGCCTCCTGAGTATCTGGGACTACAGATGCATGCCACTGTACCCAGCTTTATCTGGGGTTTTTATATAGAAAGTCATAGAAACTTTTACACTGACTGTAGCCAGTGTAAGCCCAGAAAGCAGCTGAGTGGAAAGGACAGAAAGAGGGCCAGGCCAGCAGGGCTGTCTCCCAGTAGCCCTGCCCCTGGCATGAGCGAGTCCATGGCCAGCCCCGTGGGAGCCAGAGTCCTCCTGGGAGGCTGCAGTAGATGGGTACAATTGTTCCCAGTGGCTCATTCCATCCCCACGGCGCGGCCAGTGCCTCGCCCCGGTCAGTGGAGCATGAGAGGACATCCCAGTGCCAGGCTGAGCAGAAACTTCTGTACCTGCGTGGTTCAGGAAAGCCCCTTGCTTCTCTCCTCAGGATGGACAATATTCCCAGTTGGCGGCCACAGATGGTGAGGATTGAGCCAGTAAGAGTCACCCCCAGACCTGGGAGAAAAAATGTAGGTTTTTGGTGTCAGCCACTGAGGTTCAGGGCTGTTTGTTACCACTACAAACAGAAGAGCCCAGGTTTCAGTCAGCTGGCCTGCCCTGCCCTGGAGAGAGGGAGCCTGGGAGGGAGACGCAGGCCCTGCCCAGCTATGAATACTGTGTCTCCCTGCAGATTCCTACGTTGAAAGCCTAACTCCAGGGAAATGGAATTAGAATGTGGAACCTGGAGATGTGTTTAGGCCCGGGGCAGAGCCCTGTGAATGGTATCAGTGCCCCTATGAGCGAGGCCCAGGGAGCTGCCTCTCCCCTTCCACCAAGGGAGGACCCAGCGGAGTGGGGGGGCGGTCTCACCAGGCCTATGGACTCTGCAGACGCCTCAACCTGGGACGTTGTGGCCTCCAGAACATGAGGACTGAATCTCCGCCTTATCAGCCGCCCACTTTGTCATCGCGGTGCACACCGACTATCGAAGGCCCTTAGCTTCAGTGGGGGACAGAGCTTGTGCCCCTCCAAAGCTGCACACGGAAACTGGGAGTTTGGATGAGAAAGCAAGCAAGATGCTCCTGCAGGAGGGGCCGAGAGACCTGGCGACGTCCCCGCGCAGGCGGTTCCAGAAGCCCACGGCAAGGCGGTGAGCCCTCCTCGTCCAAGGCCGCTTCACTTCCCTCATCTCCCAGGAGTGCCAGGGTTTAAAGGTTTTACCGGCAAACAAGACTAACCACCTGTTGTACCCGTCACCACCCGCCCTGCGGCAGTCAGGCGCCACTGCTCGTAGGACTTCTGATCCACTGACTTGGCCAGCGGAGCAGAGAAGCCAGAGAAGCCACCTTCCTGGTCACCGGTGCAGCCTCCTGCTGGCTTTCTCCAACAGCAGAGAGAGCATGGGAGCCGGTACCTCCTTCCTGCCTCTGTTTTGGGACCCCAGATGGGAACCGACAGCTTAATGTGCTCCCTGTCCTGAGATGTGTCCCTCGAGCAGGCTGCACTGGAGCCCAGAGCCCTGAGAACTGGCCCAGGAGGGCGTTTCAGGGTCAGCAGACCCTGCGGCCCAGGCTGTTCCCCAGAGCTGCAGCCCCGCGTGCGAGCAGGCTGTGTTCCTTGTGGGAGCCAAGGGGGTGCGAGGCCCGCTCCCTCCAGGCTCTCAGGTAGACACACCTGGGTCAAGTGGCCTCACTCTCTGTGATCACCCAGGTCCCAGGGTCAGCTGGGGATTTCCGCCAACAGGTTCTGGCGTGGTCATTACCAGTGCGTCCCCCACCCATTGCTGAGCCCCAGCTGCTGCAGGGGGAGCACGCCAGGCGCGGGCTGGGGAGCGTGGCAGGATGACAGGCGCGTGCCTGTGAATCTCTAGGTGCCCTTCAGGGCCACTGGGTGCAGGCACGCAGGCGTCTGTGCTCCTGCTCCCCACAGACTTAGACGCCGTCTCTTTGCTGAGGACTCCCACATTTATCACCTCCAGCTTAGACCACCTCCTCAACTCCAGAGCTGAATTTCCAGAGGCCTCTTGACATTCGCTCTCGAATGAATGCCTGACTCCTGGGCGCCTCCAGTTCAGTGTCTCTGAGCCAAGGTCCTCGTTTCCCTGCAAACCTGTGTCCCTATCTGAGGTAACGGCCACTCCCTCCTTCCAGTTGCCCACCCCCCACTTCCTCTCTGCATCTGTCAGCTCTGCCTCCACTGCATGTGCAGAACCTGGCCACGCTCACCTCCTCCATGGCTTCCAACCTGGACTGACCCTCCATCCTCTCCCTGGACCTCGCAGGAGCCTCCTTGCTTCAGCCCCTGCCCCACAAGGTCGGATTTCAGCGAGCTAGAGAAACGGAGTTAGAACCCAGGTCAGACATGATGTCGCTTCTGTGCTCAAAGCCCCCCTGTGGCTCCACACTGACCCCCGAGCAGGGCAGAGTCCTGAGACCGCCCTGCCGGCCTGTTCACCATTTACGCCCGCTGCCTACCTGGCCTCCTTCGTCGCACTCTCCCTGGAACAGTTCCCCCGTCAATCCCACCAGGCCCACTCCTGCCTCAGGGCCTTTGCATTGATTCCCCCGCTCCCGTATTTATTTTAGAACAGTTTTAGATTTAGAGAAAAATTGAGAAGATACACAGAAACTTCCTTACACTTTACATTAGTATGGAAGAAAGATTTCAGATTCCCTTGGGTTTCATTCACTGTCCTCCCTGTCTCCCAGGATCCCCCGGGATGCCACATTACATCTGGTTGTCACGTCTTCCTGGCCACTCTGTTTAGAATGCCTACCTCCTTCCCTTCCCCTTCTGATTGTCACATGTCACCTCAGTGAGGCCTCCCTGACCATCCTTCCTGGCTCTATTCCTCTCAATATTTAGCGCTATCTATTTTATTTTTATTTAGTCTATTATATTGTCTATTATCATCACCATCTATCATGTTTTTTACTTATTTTGTGGTTCGTTTCCCCTGGCAGAAATGCCAGGTTCAAGAAGACAGAGGTTTATCTCTGTTTTGTTCACTACTGTGTCCCTGGCCCTCAGAATAGTGCCTGGTGCCAGGAGCAGAGGCACATGCCTGTCATCCCAGCCACTCAGGTCACATGTTCGAGGTCAGCCTCAGCACCTTGTGAGACCCAGTCTCAAAATAAAGTAAAGAGGGTTGGGGACATAGCTCAGTGGTAGAGCACTTGCCTAGTATGTGCAAGGCCCTGGGTTCCAGCCCTAGGACCACAACAAAACGAGACATGTTGGCATGTAGTAGATGCTCAGTAAATGTTTGCCAACTGGGAGAGGGAGCACTGGAACCCAGAGCCTCCGGCTGCTCATCCCACCCTCATCTTCACCCCACCTCCTTCCTCCTCAGAGCTGCCCATCCCAGAGCCACCAACAAGGAGCCACCTCTCTGAGCTCTTCCCCGTGCCAGGTCCTGAGTCTGCTTTTCGCGTTTGCTTCCTCAACAACCCAGGGGTTGGTCTATGGTGACCTTGTAGATGAGGAAACTGAGGCTCAGAGGCACAGGGACCTTATCCAAGGTCATGCAGATGGGAGCACCCAGTCTGGCCTGGCCCTGAAACCCCAGTGCGGTAGCCATGACATTGGCCATGGCGGTGTCCCCCTGGGCCTGGGGCAAGTCCCAGCTGTTCCCGTGGACAGGACACTTTCAGGCTCCTATGAGGGAGAGGTCACTCAGAAGGTGAGGGTGTCCCCAATGTTACCACTGAATGGCTTCTTCCCCCAACCACACCCTAATTTTTGCTCCTGGTGTTGACCAAACAGCTGTTCCATTCAGTCAGGCCACAGATGCCTGTCCAGGAGGACCTGTGAGCTACGGTGGCCACCCGCAGCTGCCAGGACCAACACCCTCTGTCTTCCAGGAACTTTTGTGGCTGATACTATCAGCCTGGCCAGGAGGAGGGGACCTCTGTCCAGCTCTTCCCCAGGGCCTAGAAGCTCTCTGCATGAGACAGCCGGACCCCACCCTTCTCTCACCACCGCCGCCTCCTCTGTCCTCCAGCCCCCGGACAGATCACTCTTCTGCCAGCGACAGAAACCCAACAGGCTAAGAAAAGAGGAATTTCTTTGGCTGCTATCGTTGAAATTTCCAGAGGACGCAGCTGGCTTTGCCTTAGGCCAGCTAAAGGGGCGTGGCTGCCACGGGGTCTGGTTCCTCCAGCCTCTGGCCTCTGCGCTGCCGCCTTGGGGGTGCTGGCTTCGCTGGTGGTGGCAGCATGGTGACGAGATGGTGGCAGCAGCCCCAAGTTCCATATCCACCAGGGCTCCCCTTCCATGGGAAGGAAGCAGAGGTCTGAGGGCCACTGTGCTGATTCTGCCTGGACCCTCAACAGTCCCCAGGGAAGGCCACACACTGGTGGCTCACATCTAGGGTGGAGCCCACCTTGTGCCCGAGAAAACTGGGTACTGCTCTAGAAAAGTAGGCAGGCACCGCGCAGGGTGGGCAACAGACGCCAGGCCTTCAGAGGGGCCTCCTGCCCTCTCCAGGACGGCCGTGGCGTCCTCCGCGGGCCAGTCTCCCGAGGCCCCATCCTGGCCCCCTGGGATTCCTGGGCCATCTCACCGCGGGGAAAGCCGGGCGGGGAGAAGGCTTTGTGCGCAGGTTGGCTGAGCTGGGAGCAGCCGGCAGGGGCCGTGGGGGGAGGAGCCAGGGCGGCCGGAGCCCCTCCCCCAGTCAACACGGGAGCAGCCGGGCAGGAGGCTCTCTCCTGGAATGGAGCTCTGGGCTGGGCTCAGGCCGCTCCTTGGAGACGGTGGGCTCCACCTGTGAGCTCTCAGCTCTGGGAAAAAATGGAAATCAAATGTGCCGCCTCCTGGCCCCATCCCCTCCCGCCACCGCGGGGCCCGACCTTCCTTGGGGAGACTCCCTGCTCCTCATCCTGCTTTCAGGGCCCAGCTAACCCACCCAGCCCTCCTTCAGGCCACCCTGATGGTTTGGAGGTGGACATTCCACGCACACTGACCCAGGAGATGGAGGAGGGTTGACCAGCTGCTGTGAGGTCCTGGGGGCTCTTGGCCCGGACCTTGCGGTGCGAGGATGTGACGTTTAAGATGGTCAAAGCCATCTGGGGCCATGTGGGAAGAGCTGCAGGGACGAGGGGGGGGGGGGGGTGGGGTGGGGGGTGGGTGGCCCTTGGGGCTGGTTTACAAGGTGCTGAGGCTTGGGTCCAGGCTGCTTTGAACCCCAGCCAGAGCGAAGAGGGTGTTCAGGGGACTGTCGCCACCTCTGTGAGCTCACACACCCCACAGCCCAGCAGGGACTAGGAATCCCACAAGTGCTAACCCCACAGGCCTCTCCTAACTCAGCCAAGCATTCTGCCATCGCCACCGCGCTGTGGTACGCATCCTTCGACTGCTCCCCCGTCCCAGTCTCTGAGCCTCATTTCCTCGCTAAGGGCGCTACCTCCTGGGATGTGGTGGGGACTAGCTGCGCAGTCCCTGTTAGGCACGCTGTGGGCTCACGGCCACCTCCTCAGCCTCCTTTCCCTCCGGGAGCCGTCTCCTTGGCCGTCAAGTGGCAGTCCATTCATTCATCGGCAGAGCTGTGGTCAGGACCTAGGACAGTTACCGAGGTGAAAGGCCAGGGACTCTGCCTGGAGGGACCAGTCTTTGGGGCAGGTGGTCAAGAGTTGCACCCGCAGGGGTGAAGCCACGGTGCCCGTGAGGTCTGCTGGCAGAGGGGGCTGTCACCTCAGAGCTGGGGCAACTGAGGGGAGGGTGGGAGCGGACTCTGCCCTTGCTCCTTCCAGTCTCTGCCGTTGGCATGAAGCCATTTAGGGGGGACTCCAGTCGTTGACCAGATCCAGACAGAAAGGGAAGACAGACCATCAGGAAGCCCACGGTTTAGGGCAGAAAGATCAAAGTTAAGGGTCAGGGAAGAATGAAGCAAATTGCATCACAGGCATTGGAATATCTTAACCTAGGACATTTAATTTAAACTCTATATAAATCTAATCCCCCATATCTCCCCATTCACAGTACAGATGAGGCACAGCGCCTGGGCAGGTGCACTTGGGGTAGGCTTCCTCTGCCTCCTCTGTCTACACAGTCGGTGGAGGAACACAGCCTGCGGCCAGCACCAGGAGGTCCTAATCCTGATTCTTTAGATACACGGATCTTTTTGGAAAAGGACTGAAATGTTTGTTTTAATGGGGTTGCATCTGCTACGGGTAGCCAAATTCTACTGCCACCTGGTGGCAGCATACCAAAGTCACAGGTTTGTTTTCCGTTGGGATGAACAAAACTTTGCAAACAAGACTTTTGGACCCCACTGAAGATACTGAAGTCATTGCCCCCATCTCCCCATCTCCCCACCCCTTTGATAAACCCACTTGCTTAGTGGAAGCTCATAACTCCCAAGTTCCCAGGCTTTTTTATCCCGAGCCCCGCTTTCTCCAGGTGCCAGTAGACCAGCAGCCTGGCCACCTCCCTACTTCCCACCTTTGCCCTCTCTGGAGAGCCTCAGGCCCACTCAGGCCCCCCCGCCTGACTGTGAGCTAGGCCCCAAGGGCCAGGTAGGACGGGCAGGGAGAGAACCCTTCAGGGGTCAGGGTTACGCACCCAGATTCTACCCCCTGACGACAGTGGGCTTGAATCCTGGTGGACACTCACTGGCTCTGGGTTTCCAGGCCTCTCTAAGGCCTCTGAGCCTCAGTTTCCCCATCTGAAGAGTGGGGTGGAATCTGGATTCAAAACGAGATTTCTTGTCTTTCCATACATGTCTACCTACTGTTCTTCCCACAAGAGCTGGAATCAATGGGGACGGGGACACGGTGGGCAGGGGGGCTGGGCCGGGGCCCCAGGGGAAGAGCGCCCAGCACCCGGCTGCAGCCCCGCTGCCTGGAGCTCCCTCGTGTCTCCTGCCCAGCCTCCCGCCCTTCCTCATCCCCTTGGCTTCCTCTTCCACATTCCTCAGAACCTGGTCCCCAAACCCCAGATGATCTTGTAACCCACTTAGCACAAGGGACAATGACTGAGCAGAGGTCCATTCCACCCATGGGACATTGGCATCACAAGCCCCTGCCCAGAGTGAGTGATGTAAGTCCCTCAAAAGGGACTTAAAGGTAGTGTCCCAGGCTCAAGGGAAGAGGGCATCTTGCAGCTGGGTGTCCCCGACCTTGGCAACCACCAGGGCTGCCCTGAAGCCTGGGAAACCAGCTTCCAGCCAACGCTCTCGCTGTCTGGACCTTGCTGTGTGGCCTCGGACAAATCGCTCACTCTCCCTGTGCCTTGGTTCCCCTCTCTAAGAGAGCCCCCTGCCTGGGTAGCTCTGACGACGAGGCTGCTGGCTGCTGAGGGCGTGGGCAGGGGTGGGCAGGGTGGCAGGTCCCCTCCCTGCCCCTGCCTCCTCAGGGAACCCGCCCCAGGGAGGTGGACTCCAGGGGACCCGCGAGGCTCCCCACCCTCCCGTGGGCAGCGGTAGTCAGCGCTGCATTAATGATTACCACCTCCCCCGGGGAAGCAGATTCAAAGTGAGGTCACCATGGAAACCCAGACGTGGCAATGTGACCACATTTTTAAAGTGCTGAACATGTTCCAGGCAAATTATATCTTGGTGGAAAAGAAAAGAATGGGGCCTCCATTCTCCTCCTTGGTGGCCTCAGGAAGAAAAGCCCGGGAGCCCCGGTGGGGCCTGGAACGTGTTTCTACAAAGAACGGGGAGGCTAGAGCAGGGCTGGAAGACGGGAGCCCCTGCGCATGGGACCGGAGTGGAGCTGGAAGGGACAGCGGGACACCCTGAGCAAGCCTGGATGGCTGGCCAGAGAATCCGAGGCCCAGGTTCTAGTACTAGCTCTGGTGTCAGCTTGCTCTGAAGTCCCAGGCTGGTGCCTTGCCCTCTCTGGGCCTAAAAAAAAAATTAAATAGAAAAAAAAAAAAAGCCTCCCAGCAGTATTTCTTAAAGGACCAGAGAAATGAGCTACTGGGTGGTCAAACTCATACGGTGGTGGGGATAAGCGGAAAAGCGGAAGGCCAGCGGGTTTTGTTCCTCAGGCCTCCAAGGCAGAGAGACTGCGATTCAAATCCTACTTCTGCTACCCAGAAGCTGTGTCACCTTGGGCCAGTGACTTCACCCCTCTGAGCAATGACTTCCTTACCCCTAAGAGGCAGCTCAGCCAGGTGTGGTGGCACAGGCCTGTAACCGCCTAGGAGGCTGGGACAGAGGATCACACGTTCAAGGCCCGCCTCAGCAACTCAGCTAGGCCCTGGGAAACTTAGCGAGACCCAGTCTCTAAATCAACAGCGAGGGGGCTGGGGCTGCGGCTCAGCGGAGGGCAATCGCCTGTACCTGGCCTGTGCCTGGCCTGTGCCTGGCCTGTGCAAGGCCCTGGGCTCGCTCCTCAGCACCACTAAAAATCAACAAATAAAATAACGCCAGTCTGTCCATCTACAACAAAAATATTTTTTCTTTTAAATGAAAATGGCCGGGGGATGTGGCTCAGTGGTAAAGTGCCCGGCTCACAGCCCCAGCTCCAAAAAAAAAGAAAAGGAAACAGGGCTCACGGCGGCACCAGCGGGGTGTTGGGGGCATTTACCTGTTTCTCAGTGCTGGGGTCTGAGGCTGCGCTCCCGCTGGGACCGTGAGCATGGACACACACCCCGCTGTGGGTTCCAACAAGGTGACCCCAGCGGGGCTCCACACGGCGCCCCGCACACAGTAGTGTTAGTGTCACCATCACCGTGCTCACTAGTGGGGACCCCACGCACTGGGCTCTAAACGCCATCCACCCCCACATCCTTGCGGGTCCCTCCTGAGCCACGGGGCCACGGCTCACCCTGTTTTAAGGATGTGGAACTGAAGTGAGCAGCTGCGGAGGCTCACGAGGTACAGGGTGCGGGGAGTGTACCTCCTCAGAACCCAGCCCTGGCCATCATCACACTCCTGAGGAGGACACAAGGCGCGGGCTAGGGCCCAGTGAAAGTGTTGTGGCTCAGTGAACAGTGCTCACGAGAGAGCAGGTACCCAGGGCCAGGTAGGATGGCACGTGCCTGTAATCCCAGCCCCCTGGGAGGCTGAGGCAGGAGGCTTGCAAGTTGGAGGCCAGCCTCAGCAACTTGAAAGACCCTGTCTCGAAAAATAAAAGGGGCTGGGAAGGTAGCTCAGTGGTAGGGAGCTCGGCTAGCATGTGTGAGGCCCTGATTGTAATCCCCAGTATCACAAAAAAACAAATAAATAAAAAGTAAAAACAGCAGGTGCCCATCAGCCTCTGTTTCACCGCTGGCCCCTTTCTTCTGGGACTCAGGTGAGCTCAGCACATCCCCGGTTCAGGTGGTGACGGACATGAGAAGCAGAACGCCCAGGGCAGGGGCCGCTGCTCAGGCCACTGCCCAAAGGGGTCACTCTGCCCTTGCCGAATGATCTGGTGGCCCCGAGGCGCTGGCTGTGGTCACACTGTGGGGACCCAGGCCTCTAGGAGCTGCGCCTGAACTCAGCCCACCCTCCCTGCTCTCAGGCCTTCCTGCTGGGTCAGCCACCCATCCCAGGCCACCCGCAGCCAGCCCCAGGCAGGACTGGCTTTCCCGGGACAGAATGAGGTCAGACCTGCCGGGTGATGGATGGACTTAATAACCAGCCTTCCCTGCCACCAGCCCATCTGTCCTTCATGGTCCCAGGTCCATGAGGAGCCAGAGTCATCCCCATCCGTCGGAAGAGCAGGAGAGGGGTGGAGGCCCCCCTCCTAGTCATGTCAGGGCTCATGAGGACCCCGGAGCAGCCCAGATGAAGACCTGGACCGGGGACAGCCAGGCTGCGCTCGTCCCCCTCAGCGGCCCCGCGAGCCGTCTCTGAGCCTCGTCTCTGGGCGTGCACTGGAGGGGACGACGGCTGCTGGTGCCTCCGGGGTCACTGTAGGGACTGAGCAGCCACAGACGTGACCTCACCTGCAGGCAGCAGAGGTGACTCAATCTTGGCTGCTTTTGCCTGGATTCCACCCCCACCTCCCCAGGGTGAGCAGAGAGCAGACAGTTCCCTGGGGCGGCCGTGGAGGTGGGGAGGTGAGGCAGGGCCGGAGGAAGCCATTTCTGGGTGTGCTGGTCACGGGGACAGTGAGACCGCTGGCCTCATCCCGCCATCTCAGTCCCCAGCCCAGGGGGGAAGGGGTCTTAGATTGGTCTTCACGCAGGCCCTGAAGGCTGGCCCTGGATCCTCCAATCCCCACCCTCTCCCCGCCCTTCCAGCCTTCTCTGTGGGGTTGAGCCCGGCCCCCAGAGGGCCCCAGTGACTCAGAGCAGGAGCCCATCGTGTGAATTGGAACCTCGCCACGAGGGCTCCCATCCATGCTCACGACAGGGGAGGGACTCCTACAGCCCATTTTGCAGATCAGGAATCTGAGGCTCACTCAGAGAGGCGAGGTTCCCTGGCTAAGGCTACACAGCTCAGAGAGGGGGATGAAGACTAGAAAACTCTAGGGTCTTTGATTTGTTCCCAGAGAGGCAGGACTTATTGTCGTGTGGGGTGCAAACGATGTTCAACGAGGGGAGAGAAGAAGCCTGACTTACCCATTTGCCAGTTATCATGGTGTAAATACTCCCTGGCCAATTTTAAGCTGCCACAGCCAAGTCACTGAGCACAGAGTCGGGGAAAAAATGGTCGGTTCCCGTGAGCTGGTATGAAGCATGACTCATACCAGAGCTCCAGAGCAGGAAGAGCTGGGACGTTTTGAAATCAACTCCTACCTGGCCACATGGCCCACAGAGCCAATCAGACTGAATTTTCTCTCTAGGGTAAATTTCTCTCTATATGAGTCAGTTTTGTGTCACTGTGACAATAAATACCTGAGATAAACAACTTCAAAAACAGGAAAGGTTTAGCTTGGCTCAAAGTTCCATTCCATAGTCCCCTGGCCCTGTCACTTTGGGCCTGTGATGAGGGAGAACTTTGTGGTGGGGGGAGTGCGTGCAGCCAGGAAGCAGAGAGAGGAGAAGCCAAAGTCCCAGTGCCCCCTTCAAGGGCACACTTCCCAGTGACCCAACCTCCTTCAACCAAGCTCCATCTCCTAAAGCTTCCAGTACCTCCCAACAGCACCACACACAGGGGGCCAAGCCTTCAACACATGAGCCTTTGGGGACAGTTTAAGACCCAAAACATCATGGTATCCCACGGGTTCCAGCTCCACCCCTTTGCTCCTGGACTGTTCCTCCCTCGGAAGGAAGGCCCTGTTCCTCCAGTCTGCATCAGATCTAACTCACTTTTTTTTTTTTTTTAAAGGAATGACATTTATTCCTTTTCCAAATGTTACAGTAAAACCAGGTGGAAGAGAATAGTTTTAGCAATTAGGGAAAAAAAAAGTACAAATCTAGGGTTTGGCCATTAAAAGTCATTTACAACAGTGGGAGAAAAAAAGACAACAAGAAGCTGTTTCATGGGCTGGGGATGTGGCTCAAGCGGTAGCGCGCTCGCCTGGCATGCGTGCGGCCCGGGTTCGATCCTCAGCACCACATACAAATGGAGATGTTGTGTCCGCCGAGAACTAAAAAATAAATATTAAAAATTCTCTCTCTCTCTTT